GAGGGTGGGGGCAAGGGGAAAAACGAGAACCAAGACCTGGCGTGTAAAGGTACAAGATCCCAATGATGAATGTAACTGTACTGTCTACCTAGAATGTACCAATAAATTCAATTTAAAATAAAAAAAAAGAAATTTTGACCAATCAAGCAACAACTAAAATTTATAAAATCAGTACATATTCAAATAAGCAGGAGTTTAGAAAAAGAGAGAAGGGAAAAATAGTCTTACTTCATCAGACATCTGAGCAACTCAAATATGCAATTCTTGCTTATAATAAAATAATTACAGTGACCTGATCATCATAACATTTCCATATAACAACGCTACCAGTAAAGAAATAGTAGTGATTTCTAATTGCTTCCTTTGAGACTTTTTTGTAGATTTTTATTTGTAGTAGATTTTGTTTGTTTATTAATCCTTGCTCATTTTCAATCCTATGGGCCAATAAAGCACATTTCCATTGCATTACAACTGCCATTCTCAATAAGCCCCTCCCTTAGAGTCCTCCACTCAGTTTCCATAGTGACTACAACAAAACTATGATTCCTGGTTGACAGAAGGGAAAAAAGAAAAACAAAGGACTAAATCTGAGTAGTTGAAGCATAAAACATTCTCTATGCTACTGTCAGCTCCCAAAAACTTTTTTCTGCTTCCCCATTCAAAAAGGGTCTTACAACTTTCATAGTAGCATTTCCCAGCCACATCAGACCTTCCTTTCTGTCCAATGGTAAGAAATTCCTCTTCCGTGTTCCCTAATCACGACTGTCCAATGTGGCTCAAGGTAGTGTGCATATCCCTATCCCTTACACCCACCGGTCGTTCTTTCTGTCCTGACAATATATGGCATTTAACTATTTCAAACTGGAGCAAAAAGCTTTGCAAATCAGCATGGAATCTTACTTGATGCTCTCATTGATCCAGTCAGTCCATCTGATAAATAATGTGAGATTTCATGTAAATATATACTATGTCACCCCTTAGTAATTGATGTGAACTTTTTCTATTGGGATCGATTCTCTTTCCTAACTCTGGAGATTGCTTCTTTTTGTAAGTGGGAACAGCGGGGGAAGTCCCTTGCTGGGAGTCAGAGAACTGCTTGGGGAATCCAAGAGTGTTTATTGCCGGATGGAGTTTCCTATAGAAATACTGCTTACAAAGAAATTCTTTCCCCAGTATGAAAGAGGACTTGGGAATCCGATCCAGGAGGCAGGGTGGTGCCGGTAGGAAGAAGTCTGAGCCCTCTCTTCCTTTTTAATATGAGCATTCGAAAGCTGTGGGGAGTGATTCTGGACCTATCACAGCATCGCTAACAGACAGCCTATTACAGTATTTAATAAAAACAGAAACAGCATGCCGATCATAGGCTAATAAATCCTACCTCCTGCACGCTTTAAAAACAGTATGAAGTGGCTTCAACGGAGCTTCGGATAACTAATTTTAAGCACGGCCGTCTAGCGCGCCTGTCACTCCTATTGTCCTTCCAAACTCTTTCAGACATTTTGAGCAAGGAGTATCAAAGCTATGAGTTAGCCAGGGTTGTGACATTAATGGTCCACAAAGGCTGTAGGCAGGAGGGGTAATGATGATTACCAGTGGCTGTTTGGAGGACTGCACTGGATTGCTGTCATTAAAAATTAAGCGTGGCTTTTGAGGAAGATGTGACAACAACTACCGGAGGTAGGATTTGCATGTTAAAACAAAGGAATCTGTTGCTGTTTCGTGCTTTTTGTTTGCTTTGTGCTGTGCCTGTGCGGGTCACGAATTGCAGCCAGGTGTGGAGTGAGCCGCGGGAAGGGGAGTGGGAGAACGGCTGCTCAGAGCAAAACACAGTAGATAGTGCTATGTTTTGTGGCAGAAATGCCTCCAGGACAGCCGGGCTCCAGGCTCTCTCCTAGCCTGCTGAGTGTGCATTCCACGTTGCTTTTCCCTTGGAGTAGAATGCTTAGAGGTCACGGAGAAAACAGTTTGCTTCTTATCTGTGGTGCTGGCTGGGTTATTGGGAGGACTGAGTGAAGGATTTAGTGGGTGGGAGGGATAAAGGTCCGAGAAAAATAAAGACGAAGAAGCTGTCCTTACGACTTGAAACCTGTTAGGTAAATATTTTAATCCCGTGGTCAATGTGTTTTTGTGGTCAGAGTGTAATCTTGGCGGGGGGGGGGCTTGAAGATTTTGACCGCTTTCCCTGATAAAGAACTATTTGAGGCTTAATGTATTAGAAGAGAAAATTGGGTACCTTCGTCCATCTTGCATACTGAAAGGCTGATCCACACTGTTTGTATTAATGGCTTTGCTAACGCAGAGCAAGAGTTTTAGACGAAAGAAGGGGTTTTCTCTCTGTTCTTGCTCTTGCTTTTGAACAACTGCCGGGCTGCAGATGGAAATGGTGATTCGTTAGAGGTTACAGACTTGCCGTTTTACCTGTTTTATTTATTTTTATTTTTTTTTTTCATGAGCAGTGTAAAAGCACGATTCTCCTTGAAAGATCAGAGGGGCAGTTGGCTTCCCAAGTCCAGGAGATAATGAGTACATTGTCAGAGGAACTTATAGACTCTGTACTTTATATGGCATCAGTAGAGAGCTCAGTCAGAGAAGGAAATGTCAGGAAATCACCGGCTGAGATTTTCAAAGCAAGAGTGCAATAATCAGAAACCAGTGTTGCCTCAACTTAATCTGTCCTGGGAGTTTTAGGCTTTGTCATTGTGTGTGACCCTCAATGTGAAGCGGCCGAAACCGAGGGAGTAAATTCCTCAGGGGTGCTGCATCATTTCCCTGGTGGACTTCACAAACTCCAAGATGTGAGGTCGTGGCTTCTTATTCTGAAAAACACTATGTTCTGATGCACTGGTTGGCTCTAACGGTTAACAACGAAACATAAGATGACCATCTATTTATTTTAAAATGTAATATTCTTTAAATGTGTCTATAACTTTTATATTAGTGCACTGTTACCTAGAAGTAAAAGGGAAAGACGGTTATAGGATGTTTGTTTACAACTAAACACTGGAATTGAGCCTACGGATGAGCTCTTCACTCCTCGGGTGCAGTTCAGTTTGGGTGCTTGTGAGCCGCTGCGTAGATACCGTCATTCACATACAAAGTTGAAATCATTGCCCCGCGGTGGGTGATGCCTCTGTGCAAAGTTGTGTGTGTGTTTGTGTAAACAGTGTGATGGATATTACTGAACCAACTGAACTCTCTTGGCTGGGCTTTGTGTGACCTAGAACCCGTGTCCATGAAATGACTGGATGGGATCCCTTGTGCAGTTAATGGCTGTGGTACAGTTTTCTTCTCCACTGGCCAGTGGGATGTATGACCACGACCTTGGAAAGTCCCACTCTACCCAACTGAGCTCAAAAATTGAGAGAGAGAGAGAGAGAGAGAGAGAGAATGATAGTGTTTTGAAATACACAAACAGGAACACACACATTTTATTTACTGTTGTCAGAAGTCTACAAGTGGATATTATTTGCATTATATTCAGTTTCATTAATTTTAAAAGGACTTTCATTTCTCTGATATTACCAAAATCTTCTGATATAACCCTTTCAAATATCTGCTTTAAGAAGCAATCTGTGCTGTGAAAATTGTCAATACCAGAAATTATTTTGCTGTGGTCATGCTCATAACACTTCACTGATAAACTAAAATGATTTTTCACAGTTTTCATAGATATATGGGAAGAAGTTCCTATATTAAATCTTCCTAGGATATGGATGTAAACTATACCCCACAAAAATGAAAAGTAGGAAAAAAAAATCTGACTTTTTTTCCTGTCAGCTGTGGGGAAAGCCGAACCAAATAATCTATTCAAATGATCATTGTGTCAAAAATTAATATCACTGCCCTTTACATTGGTAAATATCAACCAAAACATCCCAGACACAATTCCCTTTCACTTTGTTATATCTAATAATGAAACACAATTAACCACCTACACAGCACATAAGTCAGAAATCCTTCCCGAAATAAAAAATAAACATAGCTTTAGTCAGTCTTGCCCTCTCAGTCTCATGGGTAGCACCTTTATCAGACTCCACATTCAGAGGTGCCCTTGTTCCCTTTCTCTTATACACATAGTCACCATCCTACTTTATTGGAGCAGACATTTCTCACTAACAGTCTTCTCTTCTATCATCTTCCTCCTTTCATCAAAGTATGATGCAAACTGTATCTTCAAAAGGTCCATGCTATTATACATTAAATAGAAAACCTGGCTACAATGATGGTTATACAACAGAATCATAATTTGTTAGTACACATATGCGTAGAAAAAAGTGCACAAAATGTTAACAGCAGCAATCTTGATGTGGCATGATATTCTTCTAACATAATTCCTGATTACTTTTGCAGAGGGTTCCTATTATATTGATAATTTCAGTTAGTTTCTATAACAGTTTATATCCTTGCCTATTATCCAAATGCATTTGTATCATTCCCTACATCTTCACCCGGAATTCCAAACAAGGCTGAGTAGAGAAGCCAGTCTTCTGTCAGGATTTCCTTGGATTTCTTGACACATCATGAAGACTTCAACATCATTCTTTTCTAGAGACTAAACTCTTACCTCTTCAGTCAGAATTCTAGAAAAGAAGACTGTGTTTGTGTGTGCATGCGTGCATAATTCCGGTTTATTTATAAACAGAAAAATATTTTAAACTCCCTTTCTGGTTCCTCATTTTCTCTGAAATCTTAAAATGTTGGAATATTTCATTACACTCAAGTTTAAATGAATCAAATTCAGTCTCAAGACCTCAGAAACTACCCATACATTCATAGCTCTAAAACTGTAATTCCTAACCTGAACTTTTCCTCTAGCCTCCTACTTACATATCTAACTTTCTACATAACATTTCCATTTAAATATCTAATAGGTGTATCCATACAAAATATTCTGCTTCCATATTTTCTCCCAAGTATTTAAATAGAAATACCATTGTTCCACTTGCTCAGGAGAAAAATCTGGGAGTCCTCTTTGAATCCTCTCTTTCCTTCACATGTCATAAAAAATTCTCATTGCCCCTACCTTCAAACTATACTCAAAATTCAATTACTTGTTATTATTTCTACTGCTTAACACCAAGTCTCAGATTATTACATTTTTTCCCACAATTTCTTCTGTCTCCCTCTGCTTACATATGCACACTATTCTGTACCCAACACCCGCGGTCTTTTCAAATTGAAGTTAAACCATTTCTTCTATTTGAAAGCATCCAATGTCTTCCCATCTGACTGCAAATAAAAGTCAAAGCCTTTCAGTGATCTGACTCCTCTCTGCCTCTTCTGCTGCCATTCCCATCCCACTACAGCTACATGGGGCTCCTAGGCTATTCTTCAAACCCACATTCTCAAATTTTCAGACCTCTGAGCCTGCTGTGTTGTGCCTCCCACCTAGAAAATTCTTCCCTTAGATAACCATGTGACTCAATTCCTCACTTTTTCCAGGGCTATGCCAAATGTTACTTTCTCAGAGAAGATTTCCTCAAGAACCATCTTCCAATTCACACTACCTTGCATACTTCTTACACTTAGCCAATGCCTTTCTCTCTGAAGCATCCCATATTATCCCCAATATGCTTCATGCTAGAGTTTTATTGTCTGTGTTCCTCCTAAGTTTTTCAAACTAAGCCTCAGAACTCTGTGTCACAGCACCTTGTTGCTTTTTCCAAAGACAAAGATACTGAACACCTTCCAGAAAGTCAAGATGTATTAAAAAGATTTCTTCTTCCTCTTTGTACAGGAGGGGCGGGGGGAACCACAACACTGATTCCAATCTATGTCAAAGCAAATAAAAATTCAGTTTGTCTGAATCTGATCTTACTCAAAAGATGACTTCTATTTCAAAAAGGACATCTTTACAGATGCCCTGTACAAATGACTCTGAATATAGATGTGTCTCATGTTTTCTCTGTTTTCCCTCATTGATCAAAACCAAGCTGGGAGGGAGAATTGGATTCAGTATGACTTTCTAAGGATACAAGCTCCAGCAGCTGTGCAGCAATAAGAATCAACTGACAAATAAAAATCAATAATTGTACTATGCATTAACATTCTCCAAAAATCATCATGGTACAATCTCATGATCTATTTAATAGTGATGTTCTACTATTCGTACATTATGCTTTCAAATAACATTTGAATACATTTTGTATAAACAGTAATGTTTAATATTTCTATAATTTTAATAATCTAAAGAAATAGTGTGCTGTGAAAAGGACCCAGCATCTTCAAAAAGCACAGGCTCCAAAAACAGAAAAACTTGGTCTGAATGTCATCCTCTCAACTTCATAAGTATTTAACCTTGGACAAAGTTTTAACATCTTACTGAGCCTCAGTTTTCTCATTGCTAATTGGTGATAGAGACATCTGCCACTTTGAGCTGAAGATTAAATGTAATCACATATGCCATTCCCCCATGAGTACCCAGCATGGTGAATCACATGCTATTGCCATTTAACCTGCACAGCATGCCTCAATAGTAGACATTATGCTTTCCTTTGAACAGATAAGGAAACCAAGGTGTAGAGATGTTAACCAAATTGCTTAAGATCAAAATAGAGCTAGTAAGCTATCAAAACTTACCTTCCCTTCAGTCATAGGGACTCCTGATAAATACAATGTGAGATTGACCATTTTAAATGTATTTTGTGAGTGAAGGCTGACAGTGATTAGGGGAACTT